AGAAATGCATATACATGTGTGTGTTTGTATAGATACACACACAGATATATCTGTTTTGTTCTGGGCATCTTTTTTTTTACCCAGGAAAACAATTTATTTGAAAATACTTGCATGTTATAAGCCAGTGCCACAGAATACATCAGAAAAACAGTGGCCACCAAAACGCTTCCAGGAAGCAACATGGTATTTTGGGTGAATTTTTACACTGGTTTTGAAATATATTTGACAGTCAGTAAATTTACTTATCCAGAATTTGGTTTAACAAATGATGCCACAAAAATACTTGGATGCTGGAAGATTATTCTCATAACGAAAAAAGCTCTGTTGGAAACAGGCACGTGCCTTGTGTTCCCAAAAACGTGCATTTTTGGACAATTTAGTGCCATGACTGTAGTCCAGCATCTTAGCAAAACAACAGGTGTCCAGTAGATTGAGTGTATTATACTGTGGATCAGGATTTAAATGCCACCCAAAACGCTCAATATGCTCTCATTCAATTTTTTTTAAAGAAGTTATATATTAGAAGCAGCAAAACGCTGCTGCCACGCTGATACTGCAAAGGAATATATAAAAAAAAAGATTTTGAATCACATGGTATTTTTGAAATGAAAGATAGATATTGAGGAAAGCTTACAGGGCTAAGAATAAAAATGGGAGCACAGAGCAAGACCTGCAGGACACTGAGCTCAGAAATCCAACACGGAGCCACCGGTGTTAATGAGAAGCTGCAGTTGTGACTGCTCAGGCTCCAGTGGACTTTGCTCTGCACCTCCCAGGGAACAGCACACAGGCAGCACAAACACAGCCTGATCAAGATCAGCAGCTGCCAGCCCAAAGCAGAGCTTTAGGGCAGCAGGATGCTGTGCTGGCTTACCCCACTGCAGCTGCACCTCCTTGTGCTTGGGCTTGCCCAGCAGCCGGGGCGGGCGGCAGCGCCCCGGAGCCACGCTCAGCGTACGGACCGGTAAACTCTCGGAGCACTGCGGGACAAGAGAGCTCAGTTACACCCCTGACAGGGCCATCACCTCCTAACTGAGCCATGGAGACAGAGTTACACCCCTGACAGGGCCATCACCTCCAAACTGAGCCATGGACAAAGAGTTACACCCCTGGTATGGCCATCACCCCCAAACTGAGCCATGGAGACAGAGTTACACCCCTGGCATGGCCATCACCCCCAAACTGAGCCATGGAGACAGAGCTACACCCCTGGTATGGCCATCACCCCCAAACTGAGCCATGGAAACAGAGCAGCACAGCAAACTGCCTTCTACACCCGCCACTTCATGGATATTTATATCAACAATAAAGGASAGGAGATGYTATCAAGMACATTTCTTATAAACASAATTAAYAGAGTTYAYGWGCACTCTCCAAACTGGGCTCTCTATTTTAATTTTCCTTTTCCTCCTTAATTTCYTTTTAAAATAAAGTCAAGGCCTAAAGYAGTCAATCTTAATTGAGAAAAAAAAATACCAAAGCAGGAGGAGTAAGAGTATAGGTAATTAAGTGAATTTAAATAAAAGGGAATTATGGGAATCAGTGTCTGAAAAAGGGAACTCAAAAATTTACAGAATTCAGCCATATGAAAGATAATKGTTACAACAAACTACCTCTTTCTGCATCTCCAGTCAATACAGGGCCAAGCACATTAGGCCTTTTTCAATCAAATGGCCACATTAGATGAACACAATGGTCTTTTCTAATGCAAATATAAACAACTACAGATTGGTTTTGAGGAAAGCAAATCTCCCTAAATTGCAGCTTGCTGAAAAGAMAATTAGGCACACATAGAAATCTAAAAATCAGCAACATAAGATTAGCTGCAATCAGTGGAGTTTTACTGTGCTGCAGGGAAAACATTCCCATTTTTTTGAAAGAGGAAGTATTTTACCAAAAATAGCAGATAGATCTCTGAAAAATATGACCCCAACAGGSCTTACTGTTAGGTAATACCCACCTGACTGTGTCCACCAGTGCTGATACAGCATGCCCGGAGTTTATACAAAGTGCCTGGTTTCAAGTGAGTACAGGTATATTCTGTAGCCGAGCCACTGTAGGCCACTTCCCACTGATTTGCTAAAAATAAGATACACCAAAGTTAGAGAAATGGAAAGCAAAAAGTTTAGGAGTGTCTAGGAGAAAGGAAAATCCTTAATGTGTTYTTCCACAAATGATGTGTTTCAGGAAAATCATTAGCGTTGCCATCACTATGAATATTATTTCCCACTTGAAGACACAGCACATAGACACGTGCAAATACATATATTTACAAATAAAGTATTATGTATAATGTATAAATATGCAAATACATGCATAGAAATATAAGTAAAAATATTTCTAGATTTAGTCATATAACCTAAAAGTCTATCACTATTAGGAAAAATAGGATACCTAAAAGCCCTACTGCAAAACCTTCCCAAAATCCAACCCAAACTCACCCAGAAACCCTGCAAAGTACATAACTCTGTTTCAATCACAGAAATTAAGACATAAATGATAATTATTAGGACATAAATGATAATTATTAGGACATAAATGATAATAACAGCCTAAAGAATTGAGACTTCTTTACATAGTGGATGGAAATGGAGACAACTTGTCTCAAGTTTACCTTCTGGACTTCCTTGAGAAATCTCCAGCAGATACTTCAGGATTTCTGAACCACCATTATCCTGTGGAGGATCTGCAAAAACAGGAAAAGACTAGGAGTGAAAGATAACAAAAAAAAATTACCAAATCTGTTTCTGATTCAGCTCCTTCTCCACAAACTCCTCCACATTAACTACACCAAGTAATGCACAGCAGCAGTGGGTGACAGACAGCAGTTTTCAGCATGAATCAGAGGAAGGCTGCTGGATAATGATGGCCCAAACAGAAAGTGTGGAAAAAGCACTGAGAGAGAAGCCCCATTAATAAAGGAAGCAGCTGGAGTGAAGCTGCAATGGGACATGAAATGTAAAGTGGAAAGCCTGAAGATGTGCTTGAGTGCAAGTTAATCAAAAACAAAACAACATTTTTGCTTCTGAAAAATTAAGAGTCTCCACACACCTTTTACAATATTAAAAATATTAAGCTGTCAAGYTCTCCAAACACATTCAGCTTTGGATTGGGAAGCAGCACAAAAACCCTCAGTTCTAACACATACTGACATCTGATTTTATTTGAATTTCTTCCAGCTCCAAAACGACAACAATCTGAAGCAGCTTACCCCACTTGACAGTGAAGCCATGAGATGTTACTGGCCCCTTGACCACGGGTCTGGTGGGAGGTCCTGGCCTGTCTGGGCTGGTTGTGCACACCAACACCTCGCTGGGAGAACTCTTCCCTTCCACGTTGGAAGCAAACAGCTGAAACAAAACCACAAMGAGTTTGTTCACTGCAGCTGCTTTTCTGGCAGCTCTGCATCAGATTTCCTTTAGTAATTGCAGAAATGTCATCAAACTTGAAAGTATGTCACATCCCCAAGTGTGTGGGATTCTAATAACAGATATTAGATTGTCATGATGTTTCTTTACTAAACACAGTGATTTTTTTTTCCCCTCCCTCCATCAGCAATAGATCATGACATATTTACAATAAAAATACTGCTGGCTTTCTAAAAAAAAAAAGTCACTTTTTAAAGTAACTGAGTCAACTCGCAGAATTTTGCTCATAAAAGAAAAAAGAGAACTGTGACAACAACTTTGCTATTTTTGTTTTGAAGGTGTTTCAAACTGCTATTTAAAACAAAGTAATTCAGTGTATCAGTAATCCCATGAGTAACAGATTCAAGTTGTGCCTGTAACCAGTGACACCAGGTACAAATCTGCTCTGGTACCAACACAGTTTGGTAAAATCCATGCTCAATTTGAAAGCAGGGCTGCAGAGAAGCAGCAAGTGCCCTCTTCTCCCACCAGTTTTTACAACACCAAGCTAAAGGGCATAATCTCTGAGGGACACAGCAAAAACTTCCCAATTCTTTGGGTAGATCCTCATGCAAATTCACAAAGTGTTCTGTCCCAGAGAGTAGGAGAAAACTCTTCCCTGTGAGGGTGGGAAGACCCTGGCACAGAAACTGTGGCTGCCCCATGGACAAAGTACCCAAGGCCAGGTTTAACAGGGCTTGGAGCAGCCTGGGACAGTGGAAAATGTCTCTGCCCATGACAGGGGGTTGGAATCAGGTGATCTTCCAACCCAAACCACTGAATCTGTGATTTAAAGGAGTTTTTATGTAAGGTTTCCTTTTTGTTGCTCCTGAATATACTGAGRCACAGAGAAGCCAGGTGCCAGCCTCTGGCCACCTCAAGGGACACCACACTCGGGGTGACACATCTTGTGGAGCCACTGCAGTGGAGAGAGCCCTAAAAGGACCCTACAGCACCTAGAAAAAAAATCCAATGCAGAAAATACCACACAACAACGAGAGGAAAAAGATTTTACCCTGAATTTATACTGTGTGCTTCTTCTGAGATTCTTCACAGTACAGGCTTGCTCCTCTCCAGTGTACTTTGGGTGAAATGCATTATCCTAAAAAAAAACAAAACCACACAAATTCCTGTAACTGAGGAGTCTGAGAAAGTGTTCTCTGTGTTACAATCTGCAGCTACAAAACACACACGAGGTTTTATAACTGTTTAATAAAAAAAAAGAAAAAACAAACATATAGATATCATCATATTAATTACTATTACTATTGCTGCTTTTAAGCTGCAAAGCCAGAATACTTTTCCTCTAGAAGAAACATGTTGCAGCTGCCCTGAATAATTTACTTTTGCTGCTAAATAAGCACAAAAGCAATTGTGGCAGTTCAACSTGCTGCAGAACTGGAAGTGACAGATGACAGCACACAAGCTGACCACGGAGCAGGCAGGACAGGGCACACTGACCTGGCTGAGGACAAGCTGCCCTTCACAGAATCCAGGGTGGCTTTGCAAGTAATCATGGATTGTTTTCAGCACAGTTTTTTAGCTGTGGATTCCTAATTCTGCTGAGCAAATCACCCAGCTCCACCCTGCCAAGTACCCAGCACTCCTGGAAGTCCCTCCAAAGCAGCAGCCTGTGTTCATCCCAGCAATCTTCAATGAATAAATCAAAACTCAGCCTRAAGGCACGCACTTTACAGCAACACAGCACTTACATTATCTTCTTCCTGAATTTCCAGGGTGTAGGAAATCACCTCTTCTGGTGTGCATCCTTCTACCTTGTTCCACTGCAGGGAGATCCACGTAACCCCAGCTCGAACAAGCCGTGGTGCACAGGGGGTCTGAGGGATATTCCCTGCAGTGTAGTAGACCACCTCGTGGCTGTACCCACTGCTCAGACACAGCAGAGAGAGAGGAATATTAAAAACAAACAAAAAAACCTCCAAAACCCCCAGAACAAACAAACAAACAAACCTCCAAAACCCCCAGAACAAACAAACAAACAAACTATAAACAATGCGCCACAAAAACACAAAGCTAAAGAAACCTAAACCTCAATGTACTTAACAGAAATATTTCACATTTTCAAAACATTTGGACAATGTTCAAATTGCTCAGGTGGAAAAGATGAACACCCAGTTAGGAAGTGCCAGAACTAAGAATAGAAAAGAATGCAGGATAATGTGTCCTAACAGTCGTTTTTACAGATCTCACCACAATAACATTGGAAAAAATTATTTGATTGCCTAAAAATCTTATCTTACTATTAACTGTGAAGCAGARGAAAATCTCATTTAACAAAGGGGAGCTAAAGTATAGGAAATAAAGCCTCGAGTGTTCAACTTTTGGAGGCTGAACTTGAGATGAGCAGAATACAGCTACTACAAACTCTGAGCAAAGAGCTCTCAATGGAAGGTGACATTTTTGCAATTTTCAAATCTGTTTCCAAAGAACAAAACCTATTTTGTGCCTTAAATTCACAACATGAACTTAACATACAGAAAAGGCCACGTCTCCTTATTCTGAATCTTCTTTCTCAAAAATAACCTATTAGATGAAATACATTTGTATTTAAATAAACCACCTATAACTAAAACCCACTTGTATTTAAATAAACCATCTATAACTAAAACTCACTAATATATAAATATCTATAAATAAAACCCAAACATGACAAAAATCATCTGAAATGATAAGTCCACAAGCATTGCAACAAACCAAAACCATCTTATGACACGAGGTGTTATATGACATTATCATGCCACAATTTTGAGTGCTGTCTATAAAAATAAGGCATGTGCTGCTGCTGCTGCTTATCTCACAGATTAGCACAGAACAGCTGACCATAAATAGTTTTTATTTCACTCCCTCCTCAATAGCCTGAGGGGAGAGAAAAAAGAGAAAGAAAACAAAAAAAAAAAGAGGGGGGAGGAATAGGGGGATGGGAGTGCTGAAACACGCCCTAAGATATTTTAAAAATCTGGAATCTGGCAAAGAAAAGAGATGCCAGAAGTGGGAACTCTGCACAAACCCAATTCCCTTCCAGTTACACTCAGCAGCTCCAGCTCCAGCCCCCTCTCTCTCTCTCCACACTGAGTATGATTTCAATAGGGAGGGAATTAATCTTGCAAGAAGTTGGGAAAAGGGGCTCTGTGCCAAAAGGCACACATGAGTGGTCTCAGTCCATCTCAGGGAAAACACAGGAACATGAATAAAGCACTTTTCTAAAGCCATCTATCTCTGAGAGCCTTGTGTGTCAGAAGAGAGAACAATACAGGAGTCTCCCTCCACAAAACACACACTTACACACCAGCAGTGTTTCTTTTGGTGTCCTTGCAATAATGATTAGATCCTGTTTGGCTAGGAAGGACAATGGAGGGGCACATAAGGGCACTGCATGTTTGGCTTTTCCACAGCCAAAATCTTCCTGGCCTTCTCCACTTCCCTGAGCACAGGAGCACACACAGCCCCTGCAGCACAAAGTCTCTCTGGGCACACTCTGCTCCTCAGCTGCACAACATTCCATCCCAGTGCTTCCCAGCAGCTCCCACAGGACTGAACTGAGTCAGATTTCTCACCATCTTTGAGTGCATTTGTTCTCATGCAAGGRAAAGCAGAAGTTAAAGCATCTTTCAGTGCCCTGGATGTGCCTGCCCTCTCAGTCTGTCTCCCCCTGCTCTCCCACCCATCAGCCAGCCCTGAAGAAGAAGGAAGGGACTGTGCTGCTGAAAAGAGACAGAAGGGCTTTGCTTTAAACCAGAAAAATAAAYATATCAAGATTCCTTTCAAAATCTGTAACTCAACTTCGCCTTGCTTGTTTTTCTTGGTTCACGGAGGTCCCCAGTGGGAATTTTACATAACAGATGTATTCTTTTTGTATTAGGAATAGACCACAAAACACCATTTAACACCTCAAAAGGAGCCTATCTGCTCAGGCTGATCTCATCGTGCTGAAGGCACACAGCAATTCCCTGGGAGGTGAAGAATATCACCAGGAAAAGCGTGACTTGCTTTGGAGCATTAATAACAGAGCAAATGTCAGATATTTAACTCAAAACCATAAAGAGAAAAGGAACAAAAATTCCCCAGAAATTCCTCTTTGTGTTGCCATGGACAGCTAAACTTTCCAATTGCCACTTTTTGCCAGGAAAGCCTTTTTGCCCTGCGGAGCTCACCTTGTACCGATGTCGTTCTGCGCCGCCAGGCGGAAAGTGTAACCCAGGGCTGGGCACAGCTTGGTCAGCTTGCAATGCTTCTGGCTCCCAAAGTAACATTCTCTGAAACCACTGTTCCTCTTTCCCTGGAAAGAGAGAAAGCTGTAATCGGAACGCTGGGAAGCAAAACCACACCGTGCTTATTTTGAAGGAGCTGTTAAATGTGTCAGGATGAGATGTTTGCACACTGAAAGTCACTCAGATCAGCACAGCCAGCCTGCTGCCACATCCCTCCTCTTCTCACCTGCTTTGGGACTGTATCTACAGCTCCACGTTTAACACAGATTATCCCACTGGTGAACAAAAAAGTGGGAGAATTATGAGTGAAATGAGTCTGAATTTACTCGGTGACAGGAGCTCAGGAAAGGCACAGTCAGTGTTTGTGTGCAGGCACTGTCCTGCASGGCTCCATCCTGGCAGGGATTGTTTCAGGAATTCTCTACCCCACAAGAGGGCTCTCGCTCCCCACGGTCCAGCAGAGCCAGAGGGACAAGCTGGGTGTGCCCCGTGCTCTCCAGGGAAACATTTACTCATCCCAGGGGAATATTCAGCTTCTGCACCCACCCCACTGCCCAGAGCACACGATGAGTGCATGCGATGAGTGGACACAATTTGTTGGGAAGTTTGCAATCTGTTAACGCAGTTTGATGCCACAAGGATAATTTATGGGAGCTGCACATCACCATGACCTGGAATATGGATCCATCCTGGCAGAGACAACAYCAGGCAGCAGCCAGAGGTGATGGARACACTGCTCCAGCCCCCAAACACCTCCTCAGGTCCTGGCTGGTCCCTCAAGCACAATCACAAGTTCTTTCCCCCACCCCATTACATTTAAAACACAACAAAAACCTCATCAATCCACCCCAGTTTTCACCCCAGAGCTGCCTGTGGGACAGAGACCCTAAAATAACAAAGAATATCTGGACCCATCCTATGCCACATGTGGAAAATGGTCAATTTGAAATCTTGCAGGAGAAAGGACAAGGACTGCTCAGCTCCTCATAAATAATATCTACCAGAAGCAGTTGAAAGGAGTTTTAATTCCAATACTTAAATACAAAATTAATGGACATAATGTACATTATGAAGTACCTACAAGTACATCAGAACAGAAGCCTGACAAAGCACATCCGTGGGCTCCAGCAGGTGTAGGAGATGGGGTTATGCCCATCTCTGCAACTTCTTCTGACTGAAAAGCTCTGCTGAGCCCTTYACTATTTTTGGCACGTGTCTGTACMATTTTWAATTTTAATTTTACTGTTTACACAGGCATCCCTGCCTGTGGCCAACAGCCTCACCTGCTGTGGGCTGGCTCTGCCCTCTCACCAACTCTTCTTCCCCCAGAACATCACCACYAAAGATTTCAGAAATGTTCCCTGAGTGGGACACGTATTTTTCACTGGCCCATTCTCCAACCCCGGACAATTTCTACTTCTTCTCCCTCAGATTGTGACACAGAAGCAAAAACTCCCTGAAATGTTTGTAGTGAATCTCCAGTATGTGTTTATCAGGCTGGAAACATCCATGCACATCTCCAGCACAACACAGCAATGTGGAGGCACTGAAGGGACATTTAGGATTCTGGCAAACACCAGAACCTTTATTTACACACTGTGAGCCCACATTTGTTCTAGAACTTCTTCACACAAAACTTCCTTCAACGTCACCCACCAGCTCCAGCTGCAGCATCACTGCACAGCTCAAGCAAATTAAGGGGTGGACTTGGAAGAGAACGTGAAACCCAAAGCAGAAACATTTTGTAAATGAGGAAACCTTTTCAGATCTAAAGTCATTGCCTATGGGGTGCTGTGATGGAATTCCTAGTTATAGAGTTCTATGCTGGAATTTCTTTAGGTCAAAAATAATAGGTGAGCACACTCCTYGGCTCAGCAGTAATATGTTTAATATGCACACTATACAAAACCTAATTAGAAATCTTATGTTCAGTAAAATAKCCATTCATCAGTGCAGCACTGCTAAAAATAGAATCTTTTTCCCCATGCAAACTCTCTTTTACAGGTTGAGTTACGTAAAATTAATTTTTYTTCAACTCTTTAATGACTTCATTGYTTATAAATAATTAAAAACATTTAATTTATTTTGGATTTCTGCTTAAGAATGCCTTTTAAAAATGATTTTCCTATGCTTTTTTTCCAAGAGAACAAAGTGACTGGTTGCTAAGCATGTGGTCCGTAAAACAATGCTGGCTAAAAAGGAAAATTATGAAAAAATCTCACCTACAGCACAATGCCTGAATTGAGAGCAACGGGCCAAGCAAACCCTCATTTGTCAGACTGGTTGGGTAAAACTTGGCCAAGATTGCCAAACATTTCAGATATCCTTAACTTTAGAACAGTAAAAACCCTGATATTGTATATATTTCTCTTCTAGAAGTGGTATTGTACATTCCCCAGACTCACTCAGAGACCAACTGGTATTCAGATTACTCAGACTGGCTGGTATTTTGGATTCTATTGGCACTAATTGGAGAGGCTGGCCGATATTTCTAATTATCCTGGCATTAATAGCCTGGAAATAGCCTCTYCGCTCCTTCTCTCCCAAGATTTATGAAAGCACTAATGCTGGCATAATTATAGACAGGAACAACTGGCAGGCTGGTACTGGCTGCCACCCAAGAGTCTTACAGCTTTCCCAGAATCCTTCTCCTATTCTTTGTGCACTCGGCATCCAAGTTTTTAATCCTTCAAATAATGTTTCGTAAATTGCTTAAAATACACTGTATCATTTCTGTGAGTATTCCTAATCCCCAGATTTGGGAGGGAGAGTGCTGTCAGACTGCCCCAGCCCTGCCTTCCCTCTCTCCTCCAGCCCAGCCCACCCTGTGATGGACCTGCCTGAGGAAATGGGGACAGTCCAGCTCCACAAACCCCTTCTGGTTTGCACAATGCTCCAGCACAGTGTTTTAACACAATTAACAACAGCTCTGCCTGCCATTTCAGCAATATTTCAAGCTGCATACTCACTCAGCACAGGGTGCTCGATTGTCTTTGGAGAGTGTTTATGGAGGAAGGGATTTGAGGTTTGCAATGGGTTTTGTTGCCTGAGTTCCCTGCAGCAGAGCCACTCAATAAACACAAAAAGAGAAGGGGCCAGGGGAGGTTCAGCAGGGCAGGAATGGGGCACAGTCCTGCATGAGAGCTCGCTGAAAGGGCTGCAGCAAAGCTCAGCACATCTGTGAGCAGGCTGCACGACCCACATCTGCTGAGGATACACCAGCACTGGCTTCTGTGTTTGGRCCATGCTGGCAATAAAAAGGAACAGCCTGAAATTCAATCTGACACAGGGCTGTGGAGCAGACTGTCAGCAATTAGYGCAACACGCCCCAAGATCTCTGCAGAGCATTTGCTGTGTCAGTGATGCAAGTAACAAACACTGAGAAGACAGCAAAGGACCTACAAAACATCCTAAATCACACACAAACCCCAATTCTATCACCTCCTGAATGTCTCACAAGGGTGGCACAGCCACAGAACAGACACAGAGGGCAGGGGAGTGAACAAACACAAACSTGGAGCTCCCTGTACCCAATTCTGGGGGAGCACCACTGGGAYACCTGGCTCAAATTACCAGCTGGGATAAACAACACATTTCTGCCACCTCGAGAAATTTAAAACTTTGTGGCAGAACAAAACCATCCCCATTTATCTCTACATAAATTTCATTATTAACTATCCAYCATCAAATCATTCAATAGTGTGCTATTGTATCTGTCCCTCTCTCGAGTAAATTAAAATGAGCTGCTTAGTGGATAAGAATTAAAGCTGCTTTGAGCTGTACACAAAACAGGGACACACACTGCGTGAGAGGGATGTCCCTGTCTCTGGCTCAGGAACATTCCAGCCCTTTCCCATAGAGAATGAATAGGATACTCTCCCTATCCATATACACAAGAGAAACATTTATTTACTACCACTTAATCACACAACGAGCATTTCACATCTAATTAGTAACAAAGGCCTGGTTCTTACAGCAGTGCCAGCAGCATTTTTCAATGCAGTTACAGTTTACTGATTTTGATGAATGCTGGCATCAGGGAAAGCATCACCTCCTTTACAGTCATGTTTWCTGTTTGGTATATTTTTAATGCTATTTTTTCCCCCGATTAGCCTTTTGCTTACCCTGAATCATMAATMCTGGCACCAAGTCTTCAATTGATTRGKTCAGGTTTWTAAGTTCAAWGTTCACAGCAAAAGAGYCAGAAGGTGAAGTTTTCCTTAATTACTAATTTTAACTGATTCTGTTGATAGAAAACTAATACCAACCCCAGCACCTGTGCAAGCATGTTCCAATCCCAATGAAATYCAGAATACCTGAGCCAGGGGCTGATCCTAACTCCTTTGGAGTCAGAGGAAATTTTCCTAGGGTACATCTATCAAATCTGAGTGACAATTTGCTGAACTGATCTTTTACTCTCTTATTAAAGAATGAAGTGTCCTTCAGAGTTCTTCAGACATTTGAAGAGATAACATTCATTAGCAAGGTATTACAACTACAATTCAAAGAATTGGATCAGTAAAGGGAAAACATTTGTGTTTTCTAATTGAACATGGAGCACCATCACACTACAAACCACTTACTTTGAACTGGGATAGGAAAATGGATAGCAAGAATAGATTTATATATTGACAATCCTTCTGCAGGTCAGGAAAAACCCCAAACCTCAGAACTAAACTGGGCAGGGCTGGCACAGTGACATAAGCAGCAGAATAACCTTCTAGAATTCCCCACCTCACCTAATCCTGGGGCTGTAAACACRGCACCTCTGCTGCTGCTTTACAGCCACAATTCCTTTTCTGCACACACAAGTGATGCCACCTRCACTCCTGGTTGCATTTTACACACTGTGAGCTGTGCCTCTGCCCTGTAAAACCAGGAGGAACCAGTGAGATACTGCTGAGCATCTGACACCCTCGGATCTGAGCTGCCCCAGACACAACCTGTGACCCCTAAATAGGAGGGAGCACCAAGGGGCTGCAGGAGGGAGGGAACACAAGAAGGGAACACACTGCTGTGACTGGGGAACAGCTGGAAGTGTTTGCCAGGATGCCTCCACCACTCTCCACATCTCCTCTACCTTGATCATCTCATGGATTTCTTGCTCTCCGCTCTTGCAAAGCCCTCTCTGCTCTGCACGATTTAATTTCCTCCTGATGGCTGATTTTGCTGTTTATATTTCACCCTGTGCCTCGCAGCTGATGAATGTTGCTCTAGCTGAGATCTGGCAGCACGCTCTCGCTGCCTGGCAAGGCTTCTCCTGTGCCTCCCTCCATGTATTCCTTGATTTCCCCAGGACACAGCGTGGCATTGTGGGGAGGGCAGAGCTCCTGCTTACGTGGAGTTTACACAACTGAGCTGGGGCACTGAGAGTGAATTCTCTTCTGTGCTCAGCTGCCATAATTCCAGGAGCTACAGCACTTCATGGCAGAGGCAGAACCTGCCATGGCACAGAGAAGGGAGTGCAGCAGCCTGCCAGCCCACCAAGACATGGGATTAGGCTCCAGCAAACCCAGCCTGCATCTTCAGACTTCTCCTTCAATAAGCTTTAATGGCAGGCTTCAATTCAGTGATCAAAATTGCATTTCTATCCCATATCAGAAAAAAAAAAAAGAACTTTTGGAGAAGCTACACCTGTGGCATTAACTGTCTCAGAACCTGACAGCCACATTTCAGCCAGGAGTCCTGTCAGACCATTGGAGATGTACCAAATTAATTTGTGCAGGACCATTATTCTTTCATCTGTGCTGGCTGGCTATCCATTATCATCTCCAATTTCAGGRTTGTTACTGAGAAAACAAGGTAATTAAAACAGGCAGACTCAGGGAATCTGGACACCTTAATTTTTTCCCATTGCCAGGTGAACTACSCTAAACCAAACTACTTTTGCTCTGTGAAAAACAGGTGTCATAACCATTCTTTCTGAAGACAAAACTCTTATGGAAAAGTTTACAGCACAAAAGCATTATAGAATTGCCATGTTACCTATCTCTCCAAAATTGTGCCTACTCTTCATGTACTCAAAAGTAACATTACAAGTATTTGCACTGCATTAATTATCTGCTAATGGTCTTTCTTCTGACCAGACCTTCTGTTGTTTCCCTTTCGGAACCATCCGTGTTTCCATTTCTCTCTCAGTTCCAAGTTACTGGAAGCCTTGGAARGGATCACAAGGGCACAGCCAAGGTGTACCAGGTCTAATGGGATCATCCCAGCCCATCCTTTTGGAGAAATCTCTCTTTATTCTCCTTCTCCAGACTTGACACTCCCTTCTTTCCCTTCTTCAGTGACAACCTTTGGCTTTCCATGATGTGCAGAGGGACAGCAAGTYATTCTGCAGTTACTGTTTAACTTTAGTTAAAGTTCTGAGGGCTAGGGTTAGGGTTTGCCATCATGCAGACCCTCCTCACTGTGACAGTGCACACAATAAATGTTTGCACAGTGAGCTGCTCCAAACACCCAACACGCAGCAGAAYGAGCAGGGAATGTGTTACTAATGCYATGGTGGAAAACTATTCATAACAGAATACTCCCTTTAGAATATTTTTAGACTACAAAAGACCTCAAGAGATGTTTCTCAGACTTTACAACCAAACACCCTTTCATGTGCTTAATTTCCCGACTCGTGGTTTTTTTTATTTACGTGCTGTCCAAGCCCTTTCTGCCACCCAATATTTACTTTTTTCCTTCAAAAAGGAACTCATGCTGTTTGCAGAAATACAAAGTAATTAGGGGGCAGAGGGAGGACTATCAAGAACCCACCTCCAACAAATCCTGCACATGATCTTGTCACTGGGACAGCTCAGTGCTCAGGAAGATACTCAAGAGAGAACTTATTTCCCTTTGTGTCTGGAAGGGACTGACTGACACTACACAAAGGACACTTATTTTGACCCTGAGCACATTCTCTGCAAGATCGTGGCTCTCCTCCTCTGAGGCAGGAACAAGTGTTTGTTCTGCACTCAGCAACCAGAAGAAAGAAAGAGATCACGAACGGAACTCTAAAATACAGCACAAGTAATTAAATCATAAGTAATGCTAATTAAGGGATAAAGTACACCAAATGAGTGATAAAAGATTTCAAGGGTACAGAAACAGCTGTCTCTGTATAAAATACACTGAATGGAAAGTTTTACCCCCCGCTGCCTCTTTCACCTTTCCAACTCTTTACCTAATGCCATCAGGATTTCATTTTCCCATTTCTGCTTTCTCCTGCATTGAATTATTTTTCTTTACTCAGCAAATCCTTGCAAAGTCTGAGTGCCATTTATTTGTGTATTTATTTCCACTAGTTACTGCTTACCTCATCCCACTCCAGAAGGTAGCTGGTGATTTTTGAACCGTTATCAATGGGTGCCTACGAACAAAAATAAACAAAAGGTGATTTGGGGAATAAGAGAAAACGACTTCACCTCCCCCAGGCAAATAACTACAGTTTCAAGTGAAACCAAAGCTTTGCACATGGCTTGGCAACCTCTTAACRAATGCTGGGAAGAAGCTGGACATAATGAAACACGTACATTTTAAAAGTCAACTCAGTGCACAGGAAGGGATTTGTCCGAGTACAGCAAGTTCAAGTCCCTTACTGAAAAATKACTGTCTCAGCTTTCAATTATTTCCAACATTCATGCTCACTGTCAGTATTTTTCCCCTGATCCAAGTGTCACYTACCTTCCACTGTAAGGTTATGGAGCTTTTGGTCCTGTGCGAGGGTTTGGGTGGGAAGGGACTCTCTGGTGCTGAGCTGTGAGTGGTGAAGCTCACTGGCTCTGAGCAGGATCCCTTCACTGAGTTGTACATTGCATATACCCTGGAAASAGCATTCAGAGGGGTTATAAATGTGCTGACAGTCACAGTGGCACTGCCTCAGCCACAGCATTTCACCACCAAAGCACCCACTGCGACACCATCCCCTAATTTCACTTATCACACACCAATGGCTATCCTTATTTTATTTCACTTTACACAAAAATTCAAAACAAATTTACAGCAGAGAGAAAGAGTGTTTTACACAAATATTCCCATAGATCATTGAGTTATCTACATTATCTTTTCTTCCCACCACTATTTGCCTATTGCCAGGCTCCTACACACTGTGCTAAAATCCTCTTTAAAATATAACAGAGAAAAAGGTATCAACTTTAATGCCTGGTTTACACTTATTTCACATTAATACCACATTGAATGCTGGTATCTGCTGGTCTCCTTCCTTGGGTACAATCTTCTCCTACAGAACTCAGCCATCAAAACTTAGTGGACCTCYATGGATCAGAACTAATAAAGCTCARCAACACTGYTCTGATAAACTAAAAATCCTCAAAGCAAATCAGATTTCAGGCAAATCCTCTATATGTTAGCATAGAACATACAATACCAAATAAAATGGGAAAGCAAATAGGATATAGCTGAGCACTTCCTCACGAGGTGCTTTTCTCCGAAAAATTAATGACGTTCTTTTTTCCCTTCACATTTTCCATACAGCAAAAGAAAAGTGCAAATTGGAAGTCTTCTACTCATRAAAAAAGTTCAGGCCATGACCAGACAATGACCTCTGAGTTGGCTGTAGCTATTGTAGGGCTTGAATGCAGACCTAAAGAAAGGGCAATTTCTAAATTTGTTTTCAGTAGATAAGAGTAATTCATGTACAATGGCCACCTACGTAGAATCAAACCTTTTGGGKGAGGCAGACAAGAAATCTGGTGCTGCTTTACACATCACCTGTTAGCAGGCAGCAGGGACAAGAAATGCAATTAATTAATTGAGTCTGCATCTGGCAAGGGCTGTGTGCATGTGCTGGGAATGAGCGTGAGCCACAGCAGAAGGGAAATAAAATGGTGTGAAAAAACAGCTCAAGGGGCATCTTCTGCAAAACTGAGCACAGACAGCCCTAAGGGCACCAAAACAACACACCTGAGGGAAAGCAGGTGGTGGTTCAGTGAAAGCACAGCGTTCCAGGCTGTCCCAGCAGGGCAGCAATGAGCACCTTGTCCAGCAGAGACAAAGCCCCAAGAGATGCTGCCAAGGTCAAGGAGACCCAGGGCGATCTGCCCAGGAACTGCTGGCCTCATAAATTTCTTTACTCAACAGATTTATTTCTTCACAGTCATTAATAYATAATGCAGTTTTGGTGAAGGAAAAAAAAAGAAAAAAAGCTGTGGAGGAAAGCAAACAGCGGCTTGTCCAGAGTCAGCCTGCTCCACCACAAACACCTGCTGCTGCTCTGCAAGCCTGACTTTTGTACTGAGACACTTCTTTCTGAACAGAAGTCAYTGTGAACTGCTCACAAATGAGCTATAATTTGGCAAACCCACAGGAAGGTGGAGGGAACTGTAGGTAAGAGGGAAGAAGTCAGACAGAACCTGTGGCAAAAACCCACAACGCCCCTAAAAATGACCAAAACCTCAGCCCAGCTGCACATGGTGACCTCGCTGATGTTTGAAGTTGGCTTCAAAAGAGATGTTCAAAGCCCACAGAAGGAAGCTCAAMAGTGTTTTGCAACCTTCTCTCCTCCCTGTTACCATCCCTTTGCTGCTAAAGCCAAGAATTCTGCCCAACTCGGGAGCAGCATCTTTYCCTTATTTATGGAAGTTCCTTCTGGTCTTGTGCTTTTACTTGCAAAATTMATTTCAGTGCTCCACTACAAACTACCTTTAAAAATCAAAAGAATCTATAATGTCAGAGCTAGATGGACACAGTTTGGTTCTTGAATTTTTTTTTTTAGAGCTCAGAAACAAAGTGTTTGTTCTTTAAAGTTTTACAAACAAGAGCAGCCTCGATGGGAAACGGTGTGCAAACCTATCCCTTGTCTGGAAAAACAGAAGGGAACAATAGGCAGGAGTGAAAGGAATTTTTTTTTTAAGGATATTGAGGGTGAGTGAACAGGATGTGAATTCAAAGCCTTGGTTCATAAATAAAGTCTTTTAAAAAAAAGCAACATGAGCAGGTAACACAGACAGTGTTAAAACCATCAGAGAGCAAACCTAGAATGTGTTAATCATTCATAAATGTGTAAAACACATTTTCAGAGTCAAAGAGAAATATGTTATGAAAGTATCAACACAGGTCAGTGTGAATCCATTTTTTTTCTTGGAATAAATGCTGAAATGGCTACGGTCAGATGGATCTGTGTTCAGATTTACYTCCCCAAGCATGGCCTACTTATGAAGGAAGGATGCTGGAGTACTTTCCATGTTACACGAACTGAAGAAGCACTTTATTAAGCCAAATTTTTAAACAACCTCAAATACCCCACTTTCATACCACGTACTCCAGGCCTGTTAACCCTACAGAAATACAGACACATAGAGTTCTTTCTGCCTTTTACTACAGCAATGACAACAACACAACAGAAAAGAAACTGTTCAAAACATATCAAAAGATACTGACACAACAACAGAAAAGATACTGTTCAAAAAAGCACTTCATAGTCCATGATAAAATCTATYGTAAAATATTTAGAAACCACCGAAAAACACTCCTACGGAGGTGACCATGAAATTCTTGAACTACACTATATATTTAGTTTAAAAACTTCTACATTTATTCTCACATAATGGAAGAGTTAATATTTAAATTATTTATATCTAGCATTCTTATTCATGTTAACCCACCTGACGTGATAATCTGTTGCTGGCCTAAGGTCCTTTAGGTTATATTCTAATTCTTCTCCACTGCAGAAAAGAAATCCAAACCCAACAAATTAATAAATTGTGAAAAGCAGTTTCACACTTGGCACAGGTAGTAATTTTCTAGTGATACCATTTGAAAGAAGAAAAAGAATTCCTTCAAAAAGAAATAGTAGCAAATTATATACAAACGATTTGTCAACATATTTCACATTTCTTGAAAACTTCATCAAGCTCCATATGCACAGAAGAAAAGAATTTATCACATCAACTTATTCAGTAAACTAAATATATGGGTTCATTTCAATGCTATCTTGTATTTTGCTTATATTTGTATAAAGCTCATTGTGCTTTTCAACCCTCCCAGGGCTGAAAAGTGCAAAACCCAAACATTATTGTTGTACTTTCTGAATATTCCCTATTCAAAATACTTCACACAAAGTGACCCATTGAACTTCAGAGGAAGAAGCAGAATTTCTTGCACAACTCTTTCACTTATTGCTTTCTCCTCCAGAACCACACTCCCTGTGAGGACCACGGCAAGGAGGCATTTAATTAACACCCAAACAGCTCTCCTTCAATGCCAAGAAAACTTAAAGCAAAGTGCTTTAGACATTTTAGGGAAAAAAAAAAAAAAACCCAGCATACAATCTATTAATTTCAAAAGCAGCCAGCATAGTTAGGGCTATTCTTTTTCCTTCTGGCTTGTTTGCTGGTAAATGAACACTGGGCTCAGTCATGTGTTGCCAATTCTGTGAAGATTAAGGTAYGGGTCAGTGCTTAATAAGTAATAGCCATCTCATGTAAGAGCTTGGCTTATTCATGATTTTATTACAATATGGGAAACAAGAAAGCTCTCAATTTAGCATAAAGAAATATTTCATAGCTAGCTGGACAAACACAGGGAGATGTCTCAAAATCAATAGAACRAAATCCACCAGAAAGCACATGCCTGCTGGGTTGCCAGAAATCCACCAGAAAGCCTTTTATTTTTTTATTTCATATAATCCAGCGCTCTGCAAATCCAGTTTTTCCCCTCTGAAACGAGTGCACCTCCTTGCAAAGACAATGTCTTCAACATATTGCAGGCTCTCTTTTGCCTGTAGTAATAACAATTACTGCTGCTCCTGATGGAACATAGCACACCAAGCTGAAGGCTGAGCTCTGGCCAGCAGCAGGAGACACATCACCACCAGCAGCTTTAAAACAGATGCACAACATTTCATAACCAGGAGAAAATGTGCAGCCACCACACCAACGAGCACAAGGAGTACTAGAAAGCGTCCTTCCCGTTTTAAAAGCTCAGCAGCACATATTTAACTGCAGAGATGCTCACATTGGCTCAAAAAACAGGTGGTGGAAATGCCAGGAAAATAAAAAAGTAAAATCAGGCAGCCTTTTCCTGGTTAATRCACCCTTTTTGCATTATCCAAGGCTTGCCTTTAGCATACCAAGAGGAATACCCTAACTCACAGGACATCTTAAGAAAGGAGATGGCTTGGTCTCAAGAGGTAATTCCTTAAATGCTCTATCACCTGGACTTTATTTAATGAGATTTGGGAAGGATTAGCTATTTCACAACAGCCAAGGTCACATCTCCAAATTCTCTTTCCTAGACGTCATTAGCGGGGGAAAAGAAAGGCACAACACCATATGTGCTTGATCACAGAATGAGCTCAGAGGATCACTGCAAGGAGACACAGAGAAATCCCTCACAATTTTTACTGAGGGCTGCTGAGAGCCAAGGATTCGGGTTTTTCTGGGGAGCCTCTGTAATCTACTGACTGCTGCACTCCCTCCTCTGCTCATCCAAGACACTGCAAAGCAGCAAAGCCCTCAAATTTTGCTCGTTAGCTGCAATAATAAGCTTTACCATTCTAAATTCTGCAAGTCCACACAAAATTAGCCCATTAGAAAGGCSACTCTCCTGCCTGCGTGGTGTACACTTAACATAAAAGAAAAAGKAACCTTTTCACTGGCAATGGGAGTGATGGCATCGCAGGCAGGAGCTGCCACGTGCTGGAGGGGAGGGATGGGGACAAGCACTCAACCAGCTCAAAAAGCTCAGAAAATTTACTACTAATGAACAAACAAAAAAAAAAAGGTAAAAATGATGGTTTTACCTGTAAATGATCTTGTATTTTCCATCCCTCCCTTTATCTGATAAGGCAACCTCGTAGGTACAGGTGTAAGGCAAACCATTGTTGTGTCTGTCTGCATTGAGAAGGCCGCTGGGAGGTGACCAGGAGAGCAAAACTGTTCTTGCCTGAATATTTGTAACCTGTAAAAAGAAACATCAGTTCGTCTGAGGAAAAAAAAGAAAAAAGCACTATTCCTTAAGTATTTGCTTTTTGCTTGCATCTTTACAATCGGTTTGTTGTGAAATGGAAATCTCAAAGGTGGAGTTGGAAAGTGTAAGGTCAGAAATGATCAACAACACAAACAAAAACACAGATTCATGGTATAAAATAATCTCTGAGGATGAGGAGTACAGAGAGAGGCTCCCCTGCAGTGAAATGGCTCGTCACTGTCTGAGCATCCAGCAGAGGATGCCTCTGAAGGTACCTGCTGCTGAACTGAGTGAAACTAAGTAGAACTTTATCCTGTAAATTGTTTTGTACACAATTATTTTCCTAAAATTGTTGTTGGGGAGCTTTGCTAAAAAATCCGATGGCTTTTTCAGTCATCCTGCTCCTTCCTGCTGCTTGAAACCACAATAATCCAACTGCAAATAAGTAGAAAAAGCCAATTCAAGCTGAAAAGTTATTCTGGCTCAAAAGCACAAGGGAAATTCATAATAGAAGTCCAACTTATCAATTAAAAGCTACATGGCAAATCAATCACTTTTTGTTTTGAGAGTAGGACTGTGTGTGATTTGCAGCCACCCCTGAGCAGGACACTTCCTTGGCAGACAGGTGAGGAATCTCTTTTAATAAAACATGGAAAAAACACCTAAAACCGCTGCACCAAAATAATTTTATCACTCCACCAGTGGCACTGTATTGTCCTGGAGAGCCAGGTTCACCCAGCTTACAGAATTAGCATCACTTGGTCAGCAGGAGAACCACTGGCWCATCAGCTGCACACAGCAGCAGCATCCTAGAGAGCAGAACTCTGTTATGAGGCCAAAAAGAAGAATGAAAAACACCCCCTGCCACTGTCTCAAAAGAAAAATAAATAAAATGCAAGAGCTGCACTGGTTATCTGGGAAAGGCAGCACATTTTCATACAAGCCTGCTGAAACATCCCAGGGAAGCCTSAAAGCATCTCCAGAGCCTCAAATGCTCTTCCACCAAAACTCTCCACTTGTCATCATAATGATGTTTTTTATTCTTAATCATAGTGAATATATAAAGAATATTTTTTAGTTAGCCTCCATATTGAAGAGCCAAACACTGAGATTTTATATTCTTTATTTTCCCTATGTAACAAATTGCACTACATCTATAATTCTGACAGATTTTTGCAACACGAAGAGCAAGATGTTATTTCAGAAGGTGTAACACGAGCGCTGCAGGTGCTCAGTTACACATTTCCTAACTTTTGTTGAGACAAGTGAAACCCCTCACCCACAAATTATTTGGGAATGAAGTATCAGCAGCCAGATTTCAGGGACTGCCTGTTTACAAATCCAGCTTCTAGATATCTTTATGCAATGGAGAACATTTAACTTCTCGTGTGGAAACACATTGCTTCCAGCTGATGAGCGCTGCAACTGCTGTCTCTGATATCCATATATCAAGCAGATTCTTTCTGAGCAAGTCATAAATCCATTTTTAACAGCCTGACAAGTAGGTGACACCATGAAGTGTCTCATCATAAACACCATGATCTCAAAAGTTAGAGATTTTAATTTATAGCAGCACACTTAGGTCTTGCCAAAAAAAGAAAACCTTTGTCCAACCTAATGTGAAAARTAAGTTTTAAGGCAAGACGTTTTAAGTAATATCAAGCTTTCTTTGTAAAAAATATGGACATGCAAATGCTTTGACAAATTTTCATGGTATTTCTTGCTTTCATGGCATTTTCTTAYTGTATTTTTCTGATGTTATGAAATCAATGCTTATTTTAAAACCTTTGACCTGTCAACCCTGATATTGGATCAGATACCTTACAAGAAACTTGAAYGATTCAAATAAGACAAATAAATTAATTTTTTTGAGATATATATGTGTATCTACACACACACGTAAATGAAATTATGGCAGAGATACTAAGAGCCAAAAATCTGCATTTAAAATAATATTTTGATCAGAAAACTGAATAATAAAATCCAAATAGACTTTTTAGCTGGTTTTTTTTTTTTTTAACAGACATTACTATCATGCCAGCTCAGCCCACCAACATGCAGTTTCTTTTATTATGGAAATATGCTTGCATAATTGTTTTTCATAAATTCAGACAGACTTGGAGCTGGAGGCACGATATCCTGCCAATGTTCTATTGAAATGTTTTTCTCTATGACTACTCCCAAGGACACACGTATATATTCCGCATACGGCAAAGCTCTGGCCCTCCGTGAACTTGGGCAATCTGCTAAAAGTTAGGTCTTAGATTTCTCAAAATAAAGAGAAAGTATCTTGTGGTGCTAGAACTGTCAGGTTGTTGTTGTGAGGTCAGCACACAGACAGAGCATAAAAGTCCAAAAGCAGTTGCTCCATGAATTCCCGAGGGAAGGAGCACCCGGAGCGGCTCTGGCTGCCTTGGAGCTCAYAGGTACACAGCAAATGCTGCTGGAGTTTAAAAACAACACCAGAAATGGTGAAATACCGGTCTGAGCACACACAGCAAGGGGAGGAAAGCGAGTGAGGGGTCACTGTCTGAGAGATAAGGCAGAAAAGGCAAATGTGTTCCCTCCCCGGGCTGCGCACGTCAGCTGGGAACGGGTTTGTTTGTGTGGCTGGAGATAAAGCTATCTGCTGACCAACAGGCTGATATCACATCACAGCTACCTGCCAAGATCTCCTTCAGCAGCCAAAGCCACCACTCAGTTTACCAAGGAACTCCTACCTGGAGCAGGAAGCACTAGCTTTGCTGTGGAAAAGGGCAAATTAAATAAATGGGGTTATGATATGTWGGCAATTACAAGCAGGCACTTGGCAAAGCAGCTCAGTATCTTTACCTCCAACTTTTCCACCTTCCCAAAGGTACAGACCTGCACCAGCCCTCTYCATGCTGCAAAAAACAGCCCAGCTACCACCACGGCCCTTCTGAACTTGCAGACAGAAATATGTCCCTGTCAATAAAAACCAGCTTACTGTTCATTAACAGTGTCCTAATTCCATCTGTCCAAAATACAACCAGCCAGAGCAGCTCTTCCCAGGCTGGGCAGGTAAACCTTAGTGCTGCTTCTGAGTTCCCCCAGCCTGTCTCATCTGTCCCCAAAATCACTGCACTGCTTTGAAGAGGACTGGCTGGGCCTTTCAGCTGAGACCTAACAAAAGATTCTCCCACAAGGAGTTCTGTACGTCTGGTGAAAAGCACAGTTAATTAGTTTCTGAAAACTTCTCAGTTTACACAGTAAATGCCTCCTTTCTGCTCTATCAAAACTCGGTGGTGTAAATAATTATTCCATAAAAGCCCCTGGGAAAGAATCCAGCTCCTGCACCACTTCAATAAGGTTACAAGACTGATGAGTATCGGGTCCTTCCCGTCTTTCAGGTAATGAAAAATGTTTCTGTGCAACTTTCATTATCTTTCAAATTCCGGGTTAGCATTCACAGGCACCGTGCAGCTCAGGGGCTCATTGTGTGTGTGAGAACGACACTGTGAGCAACATTCATTTACTCCCTCGAGGGCAAGCTCTGAAAGACTCGGGGGTCAAACGAATTCACGGTTATTACCGGGTCAAGATTCTGCTTTTAAATTATGGCTCTAATCCTGCAATTTTAGGCAAAAACCCCCCGTGATTAAATATGAGTTTCTCTGCAGAGCAAGCCAGCGGGAGSAGGCTGATGTTGGAAAGGAAGGCTGATGTGTGAGCTGGGCTTTGACAGGGMTGTGGTGATTCCCCACGGGGGGACAGCCCCCCAACAGCCACAGAAACGTCAGACACAGACACTTTGGAAACCCAGAGTCAAGTTTCCMTCCCCTCTGCAAGGTATTTGTTTCAGAGAATGCTCACTTTGTCTGTGATAAGGTGAATTAAAAACACATTTCAGTTTACACAAAAGCAAGGGGGAATAAAAGCAAAAGGTGTTTTTTTWAAAATTTTGGCTGTTAGAGGGACAAAGCTCTGATTAAATTTACAGCTTGGCTGCACATCTCTCCAACAGGTAACAYTATTGAAAACAGACTTTTTAGGAARGAATAATTCTAAAAGTGTGTGTATATTTTGTACTCACAGAGGTACCTGTGCAATGCAGACACTCCCCAGGGACAGYTCTCCTGCAGGAGATGCTCACAAGGCTGATCCCTTTGGATGGCTCCWTCCCTTCATTTGGGTTCCCCCCATGGATGGAGGGAGCTGCCCACTTGGACAAATCAAATCYATGTGCTGCAGACACAGCATCCCCCTTTTGCCACTGACTCACCTCTCTGTGTCTCCTCTGTTTCACAAAATTTCTTTTTTCTCTGTTGTTTTTCTATACATTGTTTTATTTCTCACTTGTAGAAGCATTAAGATTTGCCAAGAAACACGACCAAGATGATTGTTTATGCATAATATGATATATTTCTATCAGATGTAATACTGACTAAACACACACATAATCATTCATAGCAATTAATGAATTGTGAGAGTCCTGTGAGTTTAATTACTCACAAATGTCAAAGTTACAGAGAGAGAATAATAGATAATTCCCAACATCACCTCAGTAAATGTCATTATTATTGAACCAGTGTTTGTCTCAGTGTAGATTTTCTTTTAAAAAAATCCTATTTTTGGTATGATTAAAGGAAAATTATTTTTGCCTATTTTTAATTTTTCCAGCATTATTTTTTATTTATTTGGTTATTTGTTCCCTGTCTGTCCCCAGCTGAACAAGGAAAGGCCTGAGCCCTGAGAGAGCAAAGGAGAAGGGCTGTGCTTTGGGATTTCTGTCTCCCTCTGCCCCATGACTGCTTCCYCCAGGACCATCCATTCAGACCTACAGAACTCTTCTGGCTTTCATTTGACACACCAGACTAGAAAAACATGACATTCAAAGGGTTTACAACCTGATTTATTAATAACCTCACCTGACTGCAGTCACACTCAGCATTAGGGTTATTTACAGGGTGATTCAACTCCATTACAACTCATGGGCTTTTATGGCTCAGACAAACACAGACTATAGTAATTTGCCATTGAATAATAGAATTAGCTTAATTTAATCATGATTAAAGACATAAATTGGTCATGACAAATAAAATTAAACCCAGGGGAGAGGGGGTAAGAGCTACGTATGTCACCCCAGTGCACTGAGTTCCCCATCACAGTTTGAATACTGGGAATTGTCCTMTGGAAACAGAAAACTGGTGCAATTCCTGGACTGGGCAGAGCCCTAAAACACCCATGAGCACAAAAGATCCTTCAGATTTATAGCTCAGCAAAATGAGTTAGACATACACAGTGGCAACAATCTACCAAGGAAAAAAATCAGAAGTGTTCCCCTCTGTGTGAAATCACCACAATCTACTCACCACCTTTGCTATTGTACCTTTGTGTGGCAATCTGGGATCACATACCTGTGGTTTCTCCATTCCAGAAAGAATGTCTTGAACCCTTTTYGTTTCTGAGTCGAATTCTGTAAAACAGAGAAAGTGGAAAGAGGAGAAATAAATTATCAAAAATAAAAAAAATTTCAGTTATAGCAATAAAAATAGGGGAGGGAAAGTGAGAGAATTACCTGCATGTGAGCATCAACTGTTTTGCTCTTGTGAATTTAAGGCATGCAGTTACATGGATTAATGTTACAGAAAAATTAAAAGAGAAGAAGGAGGGAATGAAACTTCCAGCAATTGTAGATATTCAGAGAAGTGAGACTATTTGTAGAGACATCCTCCATAAGCCCTGCTATTAATTGTGATTTGCATTCAGA